TTATTTAGTTTAGGTAACAATTGTTCAATATGAGTATGCCATGATAAATTGCTATCAATTATTAAACCTAAAAATTTTATGGTATGTACACTAGTTATTTGTCTGTTTCCAAATGATATATTTAAGTCAGCTGCATTAGTGTTTTTAATTAAACATTGAAGGAAATAAGTTTTCTCCAGAGTTAATGATAATAAATTGCTATGAAACCATCTATTTAATCTTTGTATGGCGGTATTTATCTCTTTCAAACATTTGGATATCAGGGTTTGTAATTATCAGACTAGTGTCATCAGCATATAAGACAGGGTTTGAGATGTTGGATATTACATTAGGCATATGATCAACATATAAGAGAAAGAGCAACGGACCAAGTATGGTCCCCTGAGGGACTCCAACAGTAACAGATTCCCATCTAGAGTAGTAATTACTTGAGTTAACATTAACTAACACACATTGATATCTGTCTTGTAGACAGGATTTTATTAAATTATAAGCTGTTCCTGTAATCCCATAGAATTCCATTTCGATCAACAAAATATCGTAATTAATACTATCAAATGCCTTATGAAGATTGCAGAAAATACCCCAACTAATAATTTACTATTTAATGCTGTTAAGATATTATTAATTAAGTGACAAGATGCGCAATCTGTCGATGCTTGCCTAGAGCCAAACTGTTCATTAACAAGACTATGATTATCCTTAATATGTTGATATAATCTTTATAATACTTTATCAAAAATCTTAAGAGTGATGTGAGGAGCGAAATAGGTCTATAATTAGATGTGTCATTTTGTCTCGTCTTTTAAATATAGGTCTTATTTCCAAAAATTCTAATCTTGTTGGAAAGCTGCCAGTAATCAACATTCTATTACATATATAAGTTAAGGGAGAAGAAATATAGGGAATACTACTACTTAAAATTTTTGTTGATATCCCGTCATATCCGTATGAGTTCTTTATTTTTAGTGACCTTGTTGTATCTTTTATTTCTTTAGGTGATACCCATTTTAAATTTATAGCAGGAAAAGGTCGGGTAAATGCCTTGAATAAGTAAGTTTTAGAATTTGCACAATTGGGTATACTTTGAACAGTCGAAACAAAGTATTTACTAAATGCATCAGTGATAATCTGACCATTGTGAGATAAATTACCATTCACCTTTATTGAAGTTATATTATGGACATTTGGTTTTATGTTAAGAGTTATTTTTTACAATATTCCACGTAGTTTTTGCTTTATTTTTTGAAGGAGTTAGAATACTATTGTAATATCTTTGTTAAGCTGATTTAATGACACTTGATAAAATTTTAGAATATCTCTTATAATAGTTGTTCAAAGTTGTGTCATTATTGCTTCTTTGAGCTAAAAAAAAAAGCCTTTTATTTGTACATGAAATCATCACATAGATGGTGCTCAGTCAGGCATATAATATATTCTAATTTTTCTGGCATACATTGCAGTTGCCATCTTTAGAGTGAATGAGGTGGAAGGTGGAACTGATATGAAGGTCTTGAAATGCAGAGCTATCCAATGGGAAGGGGCCATAGCTCGAAATGTAAGTCAAGCAGTGAGAGTAAGGGTGCAGTATGGGGCATGATGCTATGCAGTGGCTCATTCACCTTCCAAATTGCAACTGCAGTGTACAACAAAACACTGGAACAGCTTAAACACATGATGTGGGTGAACCCCAAGTGCAAAAATTACACAGGCAGGGTGAGGATTACCAGCACTGTGTTTGAAGTCAGGGAAATAAAGGTTCTTGTAAAGGTGAAAGACCTTGTAATGAAGACAATAATGAATGGGCAGAAAGTTGAACCAATATATCATTCTCTCAGGAAGACGGTTATACATATAAAGTTATTTGTGGAAACAAAGGATAGGGTGTTTTCTTCTTGGAGCACAGCTGAACAAGTAGATAAATTAAAATATGCCTCTCACACACACACTACAATCTATACCATATGCTCTTAACTGCACATTCATGGTTAAATTGTTTTTATAAGGTAGATCTGAACATAGTTTAAAGTTGGGATACATGCTTTACATGAATGTGTCTGGGAAACATGAATTTAGAAATATGATTTCCACCAACTATGACTAGTCAAAAAACGAAATCAGTATGACAGCTGCAAGGGTTCTCATTTATGTAAAACTGTGTGGGAAATATACTTCACTTTCAAAAGTACCAAGACTGCTTTTACATTCTGAATTGAGTTTACCTAAAGTAATGATGAAACACTTTATTTTTTAAGTGAGTTCAACAACCCAAATTTAATAAAATCTCAAGTTCTCATTATAACAGAAAGAAATTAAGTCTTTTTGGATAATTAGCTGCAGCAATATGGAATAAAACTCTACTTCAAATGGTCTCTCGCCATCATTAGGGACTGCCTAATTAGTCAGTGGAGACAAAGTCTCTGAAATGTCATGGATATTATTCTGTACTGTACAGACTCATCTGGTCATGCATGAAACCTTTATTACATCCAAATTTTGCATTCATTTTCACAAGAGTAAGCCGAGTTAGTAACAATTCTGGGTTAGTTACAGGACTGCACTTCCATTTTGTTCAACCCAGTGTACATATTGAAATAAATTTGAGACAGCACTTTAGTTTGCTGTTCAATAAAAGAAAAGCGTTATGTTCACTTTAATTTTCCAAGTGACTGTGGTCTCTGTTCTCTAAAATCAGATAAGGTATTAAAGATGTATTGTCAATCAGGAGTATGGTTATAAACAAACTGATCAGGGTTGCATGGTTCACACTGTATGGACTTTGGAGAATATAACTTGATAGTGGACTGTAAAATGTAAAGGCTTATTATGTTTCTGTTTCCATGAAAGTGTAAAATGAATATTAATGTGAATAGGAATACATATGCTTTGAAAAATGTGTGCTATGTTTACAATCAAGCTTTTTCATTGTATTGTGCACTGATATGTAGTACTGCTATCATTTTCTATAAAGCAAGAAAATAATAAACAATCTAAGTGTTTTTTATATATTTAGCAAAAGGAATATCCTGAGAATTTCATCATATTAAGAAGTTGTATAATCAAGATTCAACCATCCAGGTGCCTTTAAGATGTGAAATGCAGAGTTACCTTTTTCAATATTATGAAGTTTCACTTTTCAGGAAATTCAAATAACTATATACATACACTGACCCAGTCTCCTACTTTCCCTTGTAACATCTGAATACTTACACGTATTTGTTCGGGTGGGGGGGGATTCCATTTTTTTTATAACTGATTATGTTTTGAGGTGTTAAATTTAGGTATGACAGTGCTAACATTTCTGAATAGGAAGGTCACAGATTGTAACTGCTGAAGAGATTTTGTTTTATTTAGTCAGCATGAAAAGCTGTATGCTTTGGTGTATGGCAGAGTATGAATAAAGAGCAGTAAATTCTTTTACTTTCTTCAAGAATATACACTATATTTCTGTTCTTTGAGAAACTACAATTTTCATGTGAAATTAATGAACCAATGAAAGGGACTGAACATCAAACTTCTTTAATTGTGTTAACTTTTATGATAGCATGTCACAAACCTGCTGGCATGTTCATGATCAAATGTTGAAGTAATAAAATTAAAACTACAACTAAGTACTTGATATATTAACTTGTTTTTGGATCTCATTACATGCAGAATGTGCAAATGTCTGAAAACCTATTATACAATATTATATACATTGTTCTGTACAAGGGCAGTCCTTTTGTTTTCTCAAATTACATTTATATATATAAACAGACGATTACCACTGTTACGAGACTGTGCATCCAGGCTACCTTCAAAATCTTCTTTGCAGTGGCTGTATGAATATAATCATATAAACTGGAATCTTACAATTCACCTGTCATATGTTAATCTTAAGAAAAGATTGTGATGATATTTCATACATTGTAATTATGTATGTATAATCGTTGATGTACAACAGTGTATCTAGCATAGAATCATGCCAAGTTAAGGAACTTTTAATAGCACCCAACTCTAAAAGCATTGTTTTGTTGTATAAAATACACCTTCAGATTGATTATTCAGTAGAGATTTAATGAAAGGAAAGTGTAATCAAATAACTATATATTACATTTAATTTGAACAAAACATCATGTGACAGCCAAATTGCTTGTTGTGTCTGTTGATGATGTGCTTCAAATTGTTTCCCTAAGTATGAATGCATCTGCACTTTAGTCAAGAAGTACGGTTGGTGTAACTGTTTCAACAAAAGGAATGTTAGTATAGTCTTAATGATGTCGATTTAATTTAGGTGTTGCATGTTATTTTCATACCAGAACTCTGGTTAGAGTGTAGCCAGTAAACTTTGCTTTGGTTCTTGAATGCAGGTTTTCAAGTGTATGCTTATGCAATATTAAACATATGAAAAAGTTTGTATACAGTTGACTTCCTATGGTAACAGTGCAGCCAGTAATCCTCCCTTTGGTTATTGAGCGCAAGTTTCCAAGTGCATTATGTCACATTAAACATAAGCAAATGTAAATGTTTTTATACAGTTGACTTCAAAGTTAAATATCTTAAATGACGTGGGTTTAATCGTCTTTACAACGCCTGCGGATTACTTAAAACACTCTGAAGAATACATGAATATATAATATGTCAATAACTTGCCGACACTAAGGTAAGTATAATGTGTACCTCACATTTATTCAACTACTTTGAAATTTGCAGAGAACTGAAACGAGAAGAGATCCAGCATAAGTGTGGCAGCCTTCTACGTATATGTTGCTGTGATGGTCATCTGCTACATTAATGCAGATGTCGTAATGGTCCTTAATGTACTTTAGTATCAGTTCTCAACTATATTTTATTGGGTATAATACTATTAAAAAGGTTTAAAATAAAATCATTTTAAATTTACTACTATGTTTGTACTTTTTACGCAAAAATGTTTAAGTTTTGATTTATTTGATGTTGGTGTCATTGGCATATCAGCTTTGCCAACACACCTAAGCAGATTAGAATCCTTGACTTACAGCTTGAGCTTGACCTAACCCTCTGCTACCGTTGTCTGTCCGCTGTCGTTGCTGCTGTTTGTGAGGAAACGTGGCCCGGCGATTTAGCGCTCCGTAGAAAATGAAAATAGGTAAGTTATGAATTCTTGGCTTCTTTGTGTGTGAAGGTTGAATATTGATTTATATTCTTAAGGACTCTAGAATGAGCACGAAGTGTTAAATGCATATTTTTCAAGATTAGCTAACATTTTAGTGTTTAACCTCTTCTGCGCTAGAAAGTAATACGCTGGAGATAATTGCTTGTTTTTAGTTGGAGTATTGTTTGTAATGCTGACCGGAGCACTAGTATGTGTCAGTGATGGTGCTACAACGACGGCATCGTACTTGTCGGTTGCCGATAGAATGCGATTAAAACAAGTGTTGAGTGTTGCTTGGAATCTTCAGGACATACCTTCTGTTCATTATGCCGTCCTAGGTTATAAACTTCTTGGAGAAGCAGTCCCAAAACAACAAGTAAGAACCTCTCCCATACTATACTGTGCATGTTGTGTTAGATGATTGCATAGCAGAAGAGGGAGTATTTGTCAGTGAGTGGTTGAAAATTAATTAAATTTAAGAAAATTGTACTTTCATTCCCCATATGTCTTCATGGTTTGGTGTTTCATTAATTAACCACGAGGATAACTTTATGTTTACTTCTGAGGAATTTTATATTTATTTTAATTGAATTTCAGGAAGTATGTAAATTCCTCCTTGAAAGTATTGGAAGTGGTACTGGTACACCAGAATTGCTGTATTATGTGACCAGTGCTTGGAAGTCTGTGGCAGTGTGTGGATCCCTACCTGTTTCCAACATTGTTAAGGTTAGTGTAAAGCAGTATGTTACGGATGATAAATTTAGCAAGTTGGCTGGAGTGATAATGCTTCTGACTCGTATTTGGACAGTGCCCACTTCAAATCTTGACCAGGATATCAGCCATCCTGAATTTGGTTGTGATTTTTATCAGTCTATCAGTCTTATTTTGCCACATTTTTTTAACCTACTTCCCTTATTTTGAAGAAACAAAAAGAGTCTTATGAGATAACCTTGGTGTTTGTGGAAACCCGCCCCCCCTCAATCCCAGAAGGGTTGGGCAAATTGCTGCTGGCCCTCACCAGCACAATCATTCTTGGTTGCGAGTCCCACGGGATTCACACATATATTTTACTGTCTTAACAACTCTCACTTGAATTTCTGAAAGCCTGAAAGTGGCCTTTTTATATAGCTTTGTGGCAGATCACAGAGAAGACATTGCCTGCAGCAGTTGGTCACGTTTTCTATGCGATCTGTGTCATATCAGAAGAAAGTAGGTAATTAGTTCTTCCCAGAACTTCTTGTTTTTAAATTTATGAAGAATCAGAATTTGGTAACATACGAGTATAGTTTGTGTTCATTTAATTTATTTTAATTTAATTTGCAGTATGTTTGTTTTGGGTTTAGCAAGAATAATAAAACACAGATTGTGTCATCTGGTTTCATGTTAATGAAGCTCAAATATATTGACTCCATATTGCAGAAAAGAGCCAACTAAATGTGCCGTGGCACAGAATGTGAATATTGAACTGCTCTGTTCCTCTGCTGTTGAACAGTTCTGTTTCTCATTTGCTCCACTTACATTAGTATAGGTACAGAATAGTCACATCTGTTAGCCATGGTGCTGTTAACATTTTCTAGCAGTTTAGATGCCTGGAGAATCCTCCTTTTGCCATTCGCTGCCAACAGTGCACCATTTCGAACTCCGGTGAAACTCTGAGGAACTTGAATTCTGCAAATAATACATCTAAATGCTGTTGATAGTTTGGGAACTGGGGGGGGGGGAGAAAGGGAGAGACACATATTAATTTCCCTCCGTCTCTGCCTCTCAGTCCTCACAGTTCATCTTTCTTCCATGCAGATCATGACAGATTCATCTGTTTCAGCATATAAAGTTCTCAAATTGTATTTCAGTTCACAGCTGAGACTTAATGAAAATTATGAAGCAAAATCATGTTTGTAGAGTCTTGGAGATGTGTTGGAGCGGGAGACATCAACAGTGCCTGACCTATTTTATGCTGTTCAAGCTCTCACTAATGTGGGGCAGAAGAAAGGTGAAGCTGCCAAGCTGATAAAAACTTTGCAGGCAGCTCTGAAAAAGGATGACAGTTTGCTCAAGTAAGTATTATATTGCAAACATTGGCTGTTCTGATTGATTTTGGACAATTTTCTTCTCACTCCAAGCAAGCCAGGATAATGCCACATAAAATACTGCTTCCTGTATTATCTCTTCCAGCTCATTGTACATAATCATCTCCCCCACCTCACTGACTTTGAATAACCTCTGTAGTTTTTACAGCGATTTTATTTTACATACAAGTGAATCAGCCACTCAGCTTTCTTTAAGGAAGGTCTGGCTATACTGTTAGACTTTTTGTGACTGCCCTCAGTTTCCAGATGTAATGTGGGATGGTATTGTCAGGTGTTGCTGTGTGACGCGACAAATAACTTCTACGCTGGTCTTGGATCTAGTGAATTTATTGCACACTTTTATCCACACTTGCACAGTTCACAATTTCATTGTCCCCATTACTTCTTCTATAGTTACTTACAAACTTCACTCACTGTGGCGGCTGCTACATTTCAACTACTCGTAATTCACTACCTGTATCTTCCTCAACACTAACGAGTGCTTTGTAGGTTTCGCACTGACCACACAGAAAACATGATTACCGATTGCCTAGCAACATTCGCTGCATGGACTCCCCTGTTGTGTGACGTCACATCCTGGCAGGGAGGGATGTTTACCAAGCATTGTTACACAATGAACACTCATTGCTACTGATATTCCTGCGCAACGGTCTCAACAATTTCCATTGTTTCATTGCTGAGCTATGAACGACATATAACACATTACAGTATGTTAAAATTGATCATGATCAATGTCTACCATGTCCTTTCTGATTTACAGTTCTTGAGCACTGTATAATTTTTCATGTGGCATGAATTAACCTCTGCATTTGATAAATCATATTTAAATACCATGAACTCACGATTCACAATCTTTAATCATCCTGGTGTTACTTGTTTGACCCTGTGTAATCTTTGCAGTTGATACAGCATATTTAAATAACCTATAAATGAACCATCCAGCTAGAATTCCTCTGTGATATAGTTATCCACTCATTTCTCTCTTTGGTTTGTGAGCACTTGACATATATAAACCAGTGCTCTCTCATCCTCCCTAGTTACTCTCGTCAGTTATGTGATTTCTTATTCAACACTTTGTAACATCTGTAGTTAACATACATTGTCAAATGGACAGAGAAGGCAACACTAGCACCTGTATGAAGATTTCTTTAATCATTTGTGACTTTGAGCATCTTGTATGATTTTTAAACTGCTTTTTTTCAGCCTTGGATATTCATTTCACATTGCTGCTCAGTTGGGCACAGATGGAACCTTTGCATTTGACCGCATTGAGGATGCTATAGTACAAGCGGATGAAGTAGACAGCCGCTTCTTGCAGTTTGAAGGAGGACTTAGTATCACAGGTATATACAGGTGTCCATAAATGATTGATACACTTGTAATTTGTTTCACCAAGGTAAATATTGATGCTGATCATCTTAGCCCTTTTCAATTGAGTGATTAAAAATGACTGGGAACTTTATTTATAATTGATTGTTGGTATTTTAAAACCAAAATCTTATATTTCAATATTTACTGAACTTTATTGTAATCTGTAATATCATTCCATCGTCCTGGACATGCAGTATAGTGTTAATGTGGAAATTCCTGAATTCTGGCAGGACAAAGAAATCTGAGTTCTGACAGTTATGAGCAGTCGTCAGTTTAGCTCAGGTATAGGAAATCAGACACACCTACAAAGGTCAGTGGAAGGGCCAGGTCAAAAACTCGTTATAATTGTGTGTAACTGGGAAACACTCAAGGATCGTTATGAGATAGTTGCCTCTTTCAGACTTCCCTACAGGAGATGGAGGACTCAAATATTTAATCCCCAACATGGGAATGTACGTACAAGCCATTCCCAAGCTTCTCACTTTGTTCTGGACCATCTGAAATGTACAGACGTGATCTCCACACACACTGAAGCCTGGTTTCCTAATTAGATTCCGTGACCTGGATTATCAGTTCAGATAAGAAATTGTTATTATAAGCATTAACATACAATAAATTAAATAGTGTGGTTTTGAGAACAATATAAGTGAATCAACATCAAGGTGAATTAACTCCCCATTTATTGGCTAATTTGGCATCGCTATCCTGAGTATCGTGCAAACTGATCCAGCTAGTTTAAGCAGTTATAGCAGGGATAGCACCATTCTTACCAAGCTGATATTACAAAGGTGAATTGGAAAAGAGTGGTGTTAGTATTAAAGCTATACAGTTGTAACTAATGTCTTGAATGACAAACTATGAAAGTTTTACATGCCCTAAAGGTGCTCAATGTGAGCTCCATTCATAACCCAACAAATGTCCAGTCTAATCCAGCTCATCCCATACTCTTTCTACTATATTCCTGCCAATTTTCTCGATAGCTGCAGTAATTCTCAACTTCAGTTCCTCAATATCCAGTGGTAGAGGTGGCACAAACACTTGTTCCTTTACATAACCCCACAGAAGGAAGTAACATGGAGTGAGATTGGGAGAGTGAGGAGGCCACTTCATCCACTCTTCATCTGCAGCTCCAGCTCTCCCAGTCCAGTGGTATGGTAACGGTAACTCACGGCATCCCTTTCGCACAGATTGCCTTGGGCTTCGATTGAAATTGGCCTCCACCTGTAATACAGCCTCTTCACTCACACAAGTATGACTATTGTTTTTCTTCTTACAAACAAATCCCTGATTTTCAAAGTTGTCAAACCACTTTTGTGCTCAAGGAGGTGGATCAATACGAACCATTTTCTGAAGGCCTACTGAGCACTGGTGCATGAATTTGTTTTCGCATACCCAGTTATGCAAAAGCTCTTCTCTGTGGGAGTCACCATTCCTGAAAATCTCTGGGAATTTGACTTTCTGCCAGTACTGGTTATACATAGGTATGCTTTGTAGTTTTCTTGTATTTTATACCAGAAATTGTATCAATCATTTACAGACGTTTTTTCTGCAAATTGAATTCGCATTCCAGGTTGGTTCATTCCGCATAGAAGAAAAGGTGATGATGATTCATGCTCCTTAACAATGTATATATAATTTTCTTTGAATAAACGTTATACATAAAATTTTTTGAGTATTTTTTTCGACATGGAACACATTATCGTATTTTACATTTTTACATTAATTTATATGGGAAAAATTGTCTTGCATTACGAGTAAGATTCTGGAACGAATTTTGCTCATTAAGCGAGGTTCCACTATATGCCTATAATTCTAAATGGTTACACTTCCCATCTTTCCAAGCATCTCTGGTTCAGTATCTTAGAATTTTTTTCTGGGGCTGTGGGGGAATCCTGTTAGTGCTCATTCTTCAAAATTGCAGTACACTGCAGGTTTTCTTGGCATCTCAAAAATAAGGAGTGATATTTTCATTTTGAAGAAAACAAAATACTTCATCAGAAATTAAAATTTATTTCAACATTAGTACAAAGGACCCACTGTTCTTAGTGCTACTTGTAGTAGTATTGATGTTTGTAGTCCAGTTCACCCTCTCATGGTTACTCATTTCATGACAGCATTGCACTGTTGCTCTGAAAGTGAGCACAACCTGCAGATGAATGGTATGTAGTGTTACTGAACATTATCTCTCACATTACAGCAGGAAATGCAAGGATGCTACTTGTCACTTTTAGAAGAAACGCAGTATATTTAGTAGTAAATGTTGTTGAACGTCGTATGTCATGGTGGAGAAAGGACTGAGAAACCTTTGAGAATATCAGAACTATAAAGAAACAATTTTTCTGTGACTGAAGTTTGGGGATATGGATTTACTGATACTTGAATAAATACAACATATATTAATTCACTTCAGTAATAAACTTGCCCAAAACACAGTGTTTACAGTCCTGAAAATCATCTCCAGAATATTAGAACATTATTTGTCTTTATAAAATTTGTTCTTATTCACTTCATTGCACACAATTTTTTGTTTTTAAATTTTGAATATATTTAAGATTTTAGTTGATAATTTTCTTTTATTTTGCAGCATTGTTAGTGAGTGGAGCATACAAATTGGCTGACACAGTGAAGAAACCTCCACCAATCACTGGTGACCAGGCAGTCAAGTTTGCCAATTACTTTCTGAGCCGCCGTTCTGTTCAAACAGCGAAAGGAGCTTACAGCCTATTGGAAGTTGTGCATACACTCACAAACAATAAGGTATTGTCCATTTTATCTAGCAAAATTTATCACAATTGTAATTGTTGCATTTGATAAAGAAAATAATTGGTCCATGGATATTCAAAAGTGGTTACTTGAAGAGTTGAATGATCTCTCAGGTCCGTTAGCTGAATCGGTGAAGTGGTATTCTTTGGCAGAATCATGGTTGTAATCTTTCAGTATTAGGACACAACAGAAGGATGGACTGGACAGTGGTCCAACAGTAAGAAACCTTTTCCTCATTTCATTTTATTTCATTTTATTATCATTCAACAATCCATACATACAGGTCTTACAACCATTTGGATAGGGAAATTGTCAGTTTTACATCTAATTCTCTTGCATATCTTTACAGTATACACTGTACCACCCTAATATAGGGGGTTTGTCATCTGAATAATATTATCTAGATCTAGTTACCATTAATTTCATTGTCTTTACACAAATACAACAAATTAATCAGCTACATATTACATTTACACAGTTGATGAATCAAAAGACATAAATTCATCTACAGAATAAAAGGAATGTTTCAGCAAAAAAAGATTTTAATTCCTTTTTAAATGAGTTAAAATGCAGATGATATCTTACTGATGACACTAATTCACTTTAAGACCAGGAGGTAAAAATGTTGCATACCGTACAAGCGCTGGAACTGTTTATAAAGATCACAAGCCAAGACTTCATGTTCACATGCTTGAAACAATGAAGATTTCAATAATGTTGTATTTAAGCATCCTGTTGCATTAATATGTCATTTACTTCATACAATGTATTTCTGTTTACAAAGCCACTTAGAGAGAAGGAAAGAGGACAGTAATAAGTTGCCTTGTAGACAGAAATATATTGTATGAAATAAATGAGGACTTCAACTTTTACTACTGCACAGTGGTTTCAGTTTGTGATTGTTGTATTGGAACACAGCAATAAAATCACTTTTACTTTGTTAATTTTCATACCCACTTTGCTGGGTGCTTTTTCAAAGATATGACGATATGTTTGCAAGAAGTTTCTAGTGCAGTACTGTTTTGTCACAGTTGTACAAATGTTCATCAGTGTTCTCACCATCGCCATTTGCAGCATGTATAGTTTCAGGTGCTGCACTGTCACCAGTTGCAGATTTACTTTCAGTGTTAATTTGACATATCCCCTGTTGAACCCTCCACCTCAGAAGCCACCCTTCAGAAGTTGTCATTGTCTCATCTCCACTGAGCGGTTGTTAAAAATGAACTTCTTGAAATTTTAAAATTACTGCATTTATAGGCACACCCTTTCTCCATGCTTTTGTAAGGACCACTTGTACAAACATTGATCTGTGTGATTGCTCTCACAAAATCCATTTTTCGTTCTTTGCAATGCATGGACTCTGTGGGCTCTACACATGACTGCAGTATCTTTGTCTTTTATCCAGCTGTTCCCTCAGTAATTCCATGCTGATGGAAGAAAGTAGCCTTTGATGTACCATTTTTAAGTTGATAATTTTGTATTTTTGTTCAGTTATATAATACTTTCTTTTGGTCATCATTACTATAGTATACTCCTTAATTGTTGTTAATATTGTGACATGTAGGTGTTTATAGGAAACAAATTGGCAAATACATTGTCATGGAGATATGATTCTTGAACAGACTGACCCTTGGTGTTGGACAAAGGTTTCCATGGATACAAACTGGAAGTTGTAAACTGTTGAAAACCAGAACATTGCTGCGAACACATATTGCTATGGAGAAGTGGATTCCTGGAGACTGACTTGGTACAGAAGGTGTTTCTGTGTCAACAGACAAGCAACAAACATTTTTCATGGTTACCGCTAGACTCTAAAAGTGGCCACGCAAATAAGAACGTATTCATTCTCGGTTCGTCATTTGTCCTTCATGATTCATAAGTCATTCATAAATCAGAACCAAGTCAGTCACAGTAGGAAAAAGACTAGAAGAGAAGACAGTCGTAGCCCAGTAAGGAATGGAGTGAGTTGTAGGAGTCATTGATTATGGGCTGTTGTAATTGATTGTAATTAAGAGTTATTGTAAAAGAAGGGGCCAGTAGATCCAATCATCCAATTCAGAACCAATTATTGTTGTTTTCAACGGTAAATATGTGACAATAGAATGTGGTAGCTTCTGGGACTTGGCCTGTCCACTAACTCAACAAGTTAGTGTTTTCAAGCAGGTCAAATGTTGCCATTGGACAAAATAGTCCCAGGTTTAGAGAAACCAGACACGTATGGCCTCTTCATAGTGGACTGTGGACCTTACCCTCTTTGCCTGCTAGCTCAGTCGATATAACAGTGGGCTTGGGCTGGATGGCTGGGGTTTATTTCCCAACAGGGGCAAGAAATTTTTCTGTTCTCCACAGTGTCCAGTGTAGTGCCAGGTTTAGGAGTGGAGGAGCTATACCTCTTCTCCCCCCCCCCCCTTCATAACATGGGGCTTAATCCGTTAAGGGCGGGGAGAACTTTAATTTAATTTATTTTACTTTACCTGCACATACAACAAGGATTGTTGCAGTACTATCTTATGCTGTAACTAAAACATTTTGCAGAAATTTGTACGATATGAAGCATGTAATTATAAGGGGGAATATGATAGACGCTGTGGTATGTCCAGATCCATGCGGAATGAGTTATATGAGGAGGGCATACTGTATAGTGAAATCCCTATTTCATGTGTCTTAGGAAGCAGTGGATTCAAACTGAGAAAAATCTTAAATGGATGAAATCTTAAGACTAAGATTATGAACTTGGGATCAGTGAAACTGAAATTGAAATGAAAACCTAATTTGAGGAACGTTAGAACTAAGACTTGAAATCTCTTCAATAGAAAGGGGGCTTTTTGAATTCTGCTTAAAGTATGTGTAGAGCTTTTGTGTACATGCATAAGTACTTGGTTTTATGCGTTCTGTTGAAATCTGTATTGTTTATCTTAACAGTTCCACCTACCAGTGGCAATCACACTTGCCAGCCCAGCAGCTGTATCACTGGAACAACCCCGTGTGTCAGTGCGTGTCAGTGACCTCTTGGGTCAGCCCCTCAGTGCTGATCCTCTGACTGTGACTGCAGAGAGTGCCACAAGAGTAGGAGATGAGGTTGTAGTGCTTTCCAAGAAGAAGTTTGAATCCACTTCTGGTGACAGGCAAGTTGCTTAATATTATAGATACCATTTAACATTGAAAACTTTTATTTATCCTCATGGGAATGAAGGCCATAGTTTGGCAGCATTTGTAACCTTCCTCATGACCTTTATTCAAGTGCGTTATTGTTGCTGTCCTGTCATTTAAATTAATCAGGTTTTTATGTATTTTGTTCATTAAGTGAGTGACAGTGGGCCTGAAATATCAGTATCAAAAAAAGTAAAGGTATCCCTGTAACAGGCCGTGGAGATCTATAGGGTTGTGAGATGCTGAGGTTCCCACAGTAGTTAATAATTGTTAATAATAGTTAATAATAATGTTTTGCAGACTTTGGTATGGACTGCGTAAAGATATTATTTATGGCAAATGTTAAAATAGCAGAAGATGCAATCTCTGGCCAAAAGAAAATGAGTAGGATCATATAGGTGTTGGGAAAATGGTGAAGGGATATTTTGTCACTGATGTGTATAATGGAGGCCTGAATTATTCCAAATTATTCAGTCTGTATAAAGAAGCAAAATGTTTCCACATCAAAATTGCCAGTTTTTTCATGTAAGCATTCTGTACTAATCCTTTCTTTGCCACGCAATACATTATTTGCCGTATTTTCTCGAATACCCTGCACGTTACAGTGAAGATATAAATTATTGACCTAAAGGATTTGTTGCAAAGATGAGGTCTGCTAGGACTTAGGCATCATCAGCTGCGTGAAGACCAAATACAGAAAAGTTCTGGTATAGAAGACTAGCTACATTGCAGAGAAAACAAGAACAGAAACTAAATGTTTTATAGGCTGTCCACCTTGTGGCAGCAGAGAGGAGTTCGTTGAAATCTGACTGAGCATACTGCTTCAGCAGAGCTGGGTTTAGTGTCACCACTTTTAACAGGAATGTGGATGATGGACAAATATACTGTAACAGATTTGCTCAGAGTGTTTCTAGGTTTCATGGTAAACATGTTCCAACATGCAACAGTGAAAGATGTATCTCAGTGGATGAATGTTATAACTTGTTGCTAGGCAACAGTCAGCACGCCAATGAACTCGCTGGCTAGGAATCACATGACCTGTATTTTCTGTGTAACGAAGACCTGTTGTAGATTAGATTTGTGCAGAAAGCTTGAGTGTACAAGAATGAGAATGGAGCATTTCTCTAGTGATTTGTGAAGGTTAGTTAAATACAGATTAGGACAAAGGAGTACAAAGTGATTGAAGACAAGAAGACTTCATAGGGATTTGAAGTGCTAGTTTCTGTGTTGATATTCATCGCTAGGAGAAAACTAGTGGAAACAGAATCCTAGTACTTGTGCAGCGGTGAACTGTAAATTGTGTGAATCAGTGATAATGCTGTAATATGTATGATAAGAGAACTTGTAGCTAAAATGCTAATAAATCTGATCATGCAATCTAGAACCCCTTAATTTCGTCACGCATACATGTGACATTTTGTGTCAAGTTGGTGGTTCAGATCATTGGATTCATTAAAAGTTACAACCCTAAAATAGGTGACAATATGAAAAGACTGGAAGAAAGTTCCAGAAAATCAGGTCATTACAATCACGACAGCAACTTTGTCGAGTAAGAAGGATATACGCAATGTAGCAAGTGTAGAGACAGATATGGGGGAGGATAGGGATGAAGACATAGCGGCTGGTTCCCACAGTTTGGCAGGCATTTGCTATCTTCAGACCATGTGACAGTACTTGGTTTAATTTCCAGTTGATAAGGCTAGTGTGCAGCCACTGACACAATTTGAGAGGGGATTCCCCCTTATCTGTTGTACATGTCAGATGAAGCTGACTGCCCATCTGGGTGGGAATGCTTGCATTATTTTTATATTTTTACTGCTACAAGACATGATAATCTGTTAGCTGATGTACTGTGATGTGATAAAATGTAGGCCTTTCATCTTTTAAAACAGCTTGCCTCTTATTGAGATGTGACAGCAGATTCTCTTGCCAGGTTTAACTGCAGATCCCTGTTGTGTGATTTAGATTTTATAACTCTAATTCTTTATTGTGATTTATATTGTCTGCTTTGTTAGTTGACTTTCAACAGAGTACATGGTGTTATATCACAGAAGACAGAACTCTTGTTTGGAAATGTTTGGAGATTCAGTTTATGTAATATAGTCCTCTTTTTAAAATGCAGTTTGAGAAATTAGTGTTGTAAAAGTGAACTATCATGTTTCCTTTATGTGGGTATATAGCTATGTCATTTCTGCTGCCAGTTTCTTTTATTTTGTTAAATAAACAAGTTTGTTGCCCTATTGTTGATTTAATGAACCTAAATAGTCATTTTAGGCTTCTAGTTTTCAAAACCCCCGTTTAAAGTATAAAGAGACATTCAGAATGAAGGTTTTGCGCTACATCCCTTGATCTTTTTGGTAATCATCAGTCTGTACTTCTGTAATTTCATGCTATCTTTCTCCACCTGTCAGCACCTATTCTATCTACATGTTCCTTCCACCTCTTCCTACATCCATTAATCTCTTCAGCTGTATTATATACATGAAGTTTGTCATGTAATTAATATTTCAATTTTGTCTCATTGTATATTTCAAGCTAAGACTTCAGAGTTTTCATTTCTTTCGCACCTTTCCTTTTGTGTCTTCGAGCATATATCCATCTATAACCAATATTTTGTTATTTTAAAAATATTTCCTTGGACAGTATTTTATTATATTTATTATGTAATATAAAACAGAATGACTGTGAGACTTCTATATTTACTTCTGAATTAGTGATAAGTGATAAACCATTGTGAAAGTGTTTCAGCATGTCAGTATGTTTGCAGGACTGTGTATTCTGTGAACCTTATGGAGACAAAACCAGAACGCGGATTATATAAGCTTTCTGTGAGTGCTGCATTGGCCAAACCAGATCCAAGACTTGTTGGTAATGTGGGCGCTTCTCTTACTGTGAAAGTTATGTGTGCTGTTGGTGTGGAGAATGTGGAGGTTGGAACAGTTGATGCTGATCAGACTACACAAGCTAAACTAGCCAAGTAAGTATTTAGTTTTCTATCAGTTCACACTTTGATCCTGGTGATTTTACCAGTAATGTCGGTCCTATTTTGCTGAGATTCTGGAAGAGTGGGCAAAAGTTGTCCCTGTTCTTAGCTAATTAAGGACATTGCCGTGAAGGCGTATGGGGGATTGGGTATATAGATCTACATTTTCTAGGAGGTGAGTGGTCAGCTTCATGCCCTGACTAAGAGTGGGTGCTTTATTGTGTTTCTAAACACTGAGTGAGTGTTCACATAACATATATCTATGTGTAAAACACTGACAAAGCTAACAAATTTGTATTCTGGCATTTGAATAATCTGCTGCTGTTTCACCCTTTGATGCATGGACATGGGACATACAAATAATGAGAACTGGAAGAGTTGGCTGTTGTACAGTTTTCAGACAATTCAGTGCCAGTTAGAATTTTCACAGCACATTTTCCTACAGACTGTTTTAATGTTAAGTTGTGCCTCTCTCCCAATTAACCACGTTCTGAGAGACTTCCCTATCATAACCTCTGTGGGTAGACTGTCTTAACAATGGTGAATTTCTTTAAATAATAGAAATTCAGCATGTCGGAGGATACTGAGGAAGACTATGAGAAATCTGAGTTAGGTTAACCAGTAACCCAGCCAAGATTTGAACTAAGCGCCTCTCAGTGTAATGAAGATTCAGTGCTAAAACATTTTATTTGATTAAAATTCACTTTTAGAACTGTTGCTCTATGGTCATTGGTATAGATTTCTTTAAATGCATTCATGTCTCTTAAAATTATTTCAGTATTTGTCTCTGAGAAATTTTCTTCCATTTCCATATTTCTTATTCATATTTGACACTTAATAACCTGTGAATATGGGAAAGTATCATTAAATAAACTACAGTGTTACATTGTCACATGTCAACTGAGAGCCGGAATTGTGAAGCCAGCAGAGACAGCTGTTGCCTGGGAATGGCTCTGTGAAAGCAGTGACCCCGTGGATGTTATGGTACTGCAGCCACACTTACGTGCAACAGTGGAACACACCATGCTGGGTCACCAAATACATCACCCATTGCTAGGCACTGGTGCAATAAACACATCTCTGCATTAATAATGACATTTTGCAACAACAGGAGAACTGTTGGAAGTCTTGCTTTCTGTGGGGTCTGTCATGAGGACAAATCAGATAACGGAACCATTCTTGAGACAGTGGAGTTAGAAGAGTAGGAGGTTGGTGTGAGATGGCTGCCAGCCTGCGAGGACATGAGTCCTGGAGCAGAGGAACTTGATCCTTGAAACTGTTGTAGTTACTTGTAGCTACAATCTGTAAGTGTTCAGTAAATTAGATTACCAATCTGAATCCCACCCCACTTATCACATGAGAGTATTTATAATGACCACCAGTCTTACATATGGCTGTAACATAACTAAAATCATTATAAAATGAATTGACAACACCGTCCAGTGTGACCCAGTATATATTTATATAGTGCCTTTACATGTTTCAGCCAGTTGTGACCATCTTCAGAAGGCAATAACAACACGCTAAGGAAACAACCGACTGAAACATGTAAAAGCACTATATAAATAATACTGAGTCACACTGGACGGTGTTGACAATTCATTTTATAATAATTAACTGATGTGACGGACCAGAATGAATAAAGTTAAAATCATATTTCTTGTCTGTAGGGTTTCATATCCAGATAAGCTTACAACTCCAGTGGAAGCAGATTCCCTTCAGAAGTTGATCATGAAATTTGCCCTTAAGGACAAGAGCACAGGGAAAGTGATGACAGTTCACCAAGCATTTGTGAAACTTCACAATCTTGTTACCAATCAGGAGATCATCTTTGTTGCTGAACCTGACTCTGCAAAGATATACAAATTTGACATTGTAAGTAATGCATGTGGTTGAATTTGTAATCCTCTCTTTTTTAAATTTCAGTTTTAGTGAAAATATATGAAGGAGTGGGTAATCTCTTCATGTAAAGAACTTGGTTATTCATATTATATTTTAGCATCCCATTGTATTGAGGTGTCATCGTTTTTGCTATAGTATCCATCAACAATACAACAATATAAAAGGCATTAAGGATATGTCATTCACTTAAAATGTATTTTGATACTATGATTGTTAAAATCATTAAAATGTCCGTAGGACACTACAGGTATAAAACTTTATGCACTGAAAGTGATGTCAAAATTTGTTGAACTGTCTTAATTTTACATGTATTTTTTTTAGTTTTTTAGTTTTTCATTACATGTGTCAGCCTCACATGGGCCATCATCAGGTATATTCTACTTTATGGGGAGACCACTGCACTGTACTTGCTCTCCATGCTCCATTCATGCATGTCAAAGTTTAGTTCATGCTAGTTGTATTTTTGCAGCTATTTTGCGGCCATTAATACTGTAATATATAACATGAATGACTGGTATACACTGTCATGGTTTTCATTATGTTTTATATATCAAATATTACAGTATGTGTACTTACAATTTATTGTCATGTTTTCTTGTGCTAGTGTTCCTGTTGTGGTCTTCCAGTATACTGAACACAGTAGAGTTGCTCCTGCTTCTATATTATTCTATGTAGTACATCTAGTGCTATCTATCATCAAGTTCATACACTGTTAGAAGTATTGGGTTTTGTGTTTCTGTGTATACTTCATTCATATGTAGACTGCTTTTAGTATATTTTGTAGATGTGATATCTTTCTAGTGTATTCAAATGTCTGCTTTTCCTTCCAATTCTTATGACGTTCATAGTGTCCATTGTTTTGCAATATGAGTGTCCCGTATTTAATATGTGGTTCGAATATCTGAATTTGCTACAGTTACTCTTAATGGCTTGAATGTGTTCCTTATATCTTCTTAAACGTCCTTCCAGTTTGACCAATGTATTTCAATGGGCAATCCAAGCATTTCATTTGATATATGCCACTATTGCCATATATTGTTGACGGATACTATAGCAAGAAGGTTGGTTATTCATAACTTCAGCAAAGGAAGCAGGATAGATACATTTATGACAACAAATACAAAAATGAGGACAAAAATTTGTGAATTCAAGATAAATTGTACCTATCTGGAATGCTTGAGGGCTTGGTGGTGAAGAGAAATTACAGAAATGAAAGGAAAGTGGATAAATACAGGGTGTTCCTAAAAGAATGGTGGGATTTCATTGCCGTATATCTCCGTCAGTTTTTGCTGATGAAAAGCAAAACGTATACGGATTCATAACATGGCTCTCAAATTTTCATTTTGTATATCACACTCTTTCCTAGTTCCATTTCCAACAGTTAGGCAAACGATGGATTGGACGTGCTGCAGGTGAAGATACCCCCTTTCTCCAGTGGCCACCCAGGTCCCCGGGCATAACTCCATGTGATTTCTTCTTGTGGGGGTACGTGAAGGACGTGGTTTATGTACCCCCATTGCCCCAATCGCTCCAGGATCTCCGAACCAATCAATCATGCTTTGGAGACAATCACATCTGAAATGCTGCAGCTGGTGTGGCAGGAATTCGACTGTCGCATTGATGGGTGCCGGGTAACGAAAGGTGCACACATAGAAGCACTTTGATGGATGCACATAAAATTTGGACAGTTAAGCTTCCGATTGACGCATGTTATGATTGTACACGGTAAGAAATACGAACTATATACGTATCTGAAACCCCACCATTCTTTTAGAAACACCCAGTATATGGGATGCTTCAGAAACTAAGAGACAGTTAAAAGGTTGAAGAATAATATGATGCGATAATAATACATATGGGAGTGGGGGTGGGGAGGGATTTACAGAGTAATGCCTTAACTTAGGAACTTTTGCCTGAGGTCTATACACCAGTTGAAAATCATAAGCAAGCTGTAGTAGAATTTTACAACATTTTATAAAATCAAGTAAGAATCATATTGTTATACTGTCATGCAACTTTAATGCAGAGCAGGGACTCAACCAGGATGCCATGTGATTAGAAGATTTGGAGATGGTGTGTTGAATAACAAGATGTGTAACTTACAGTTATTAAGATTAAATTTCTGGAACTGACATTTTCTTTGCAGGATGTTGGAAGCAAAGCATCTGAATTTGGTTATTTGTCTGGATTGTATTCCATGGAGCTCATTGTGGGTGATGCTGTACTATCCAATTCCTTTTCTTGGATAGTTGCAGATGTAGTTCTCAAATTTTCTGACAGTGTTCCTGTACCAAGCTCATCAAAGGACCAGTACCTGTATGCACCAAAACCAGAGATAAAGGTTTGCAGCTTCAAGTTTTCAGTATGTTTTTTACTTGAAGACAAATTGTATAGTACAGTATACCAATTCTGTGCCACATAAAGGTTTGTTAAATAAAGAACACAAGATAATAAAGAGGTAAAGTTAGTGAATATAATAACAGTAATAATAATAATACAAAACAGAAGAACAGTACAGAACAGGGCGGCTCACATGTTGGTTCACAATTCTGAAGCCAAACAGGCAAAATTAAATTTATAGGTTCCAGGAATGATGCATGTCCAACCACTGGGGAAAAGTCAGTGCCAGCATGGCGGGTGCAAGGGGCCAGGTCAAGGGAGGAGAAAGGGGATGAAGGTAGGGTATACAGCAGAAAGGAAGGGATGGTACAAGGTAGTACATATGATGTTACTCTGTAACACATGATTTGTATCATGATTGCTTAACCCTTTGACGTGGTCATTTAAATTCCGCGGCCGCGGCTCCTGCGGTAATATATTCAGCCGGCCATTTAAATTTTGCTCGAAAATTATTTATTCATCATTGTTCTTAAATTCTATGAGATAGGAACATGAAACTTTCACTAAAATGATCTTAAAAGGTGGTTTTATAACCTTACCTTATAATATGAACCCCCTTTATATCTTCAATGGAAGCAGGTTGTTTAGTATTTGAGCTGTGAATGGTACGCTTTGAAGGATGAAACTTTCACTAAAATGATCTTAAAAGATGGTTTTATAACCTTGCCTTATAATATGAACACCCGGTATCTCGGCTATGTAAGCAGGTGACGCCTTGAAGCATTAGTCTAAACACAGCGCTCGCTCACATCCCACCACACCAATACTGCGTATCTTTACTTTTGCTTTTTTTTTTCTAACCACACTTCTGTGCGGTCTTCTTCCCCGTGGGGGGAATACAAGTGGAAATGTCCCTCCGTGAGTCGTATATTTTGACAGATTAGCTGCAGTAAATTCAACCTTTGTGTTATCATAAGAAGGGTTTGGTGCTTCTGCGTTTCAGATTCCAACCTTTTCGGCTCCCCAGATGTCGTAGGGGTGACCACAGAATTCATGAATTTATTATAAGAACTGGCTGGTATATAGAGGAAGAAAGCAGAGCTTAGCTGGCTCAAAAAAAATAGTTATGGTCATCCCTCGAAACGACCACCAAGGTCAGTACGATAAAATGGCGTCAACTGGAGCGATAATGAGTACTTTTCCCTCCCCCACACACATCCGTATCGTCTCAGGGGGTGACCACAGTGTTCTGCCTTAAATTGTGGCGTTTTTCTCAGAACTGGGCCTTTGTACTGTGCGAAATCAATGGATAATGCGAGAATAAATTACTGGACAACCCTATTCTAAGAATTTCAGTTGAGTGTGTCAATGTGGCCAGCTCAGGGTAATATGATATCATATACAACAGTAAACATCACGTCTCTTCTGTTTATATCTTCAAAGCAAAGTAAACACGCCTTCATAAGAGTACAGCTAGAAACCGCTCGCCAGAACCACAGGAACTTTGCTGCAAGACAGGCATATGTAACGATGACTTGGCACAGATAAAGTCGTGTCTTATTTATACTCTGTTCTACTGACAACAGGCCAGCGAAAAATCTAACAATCTACAGCAAAACCATCAATTATTATGGGCGTTATAACATAGGTGTGCAGCTGAACGAAACATACACGTCGAACCCCCCCAGACGATTTAAATCCCTGACGAGACATACACGACGAACCACGGCAACGGGTTAAAGTGAGATGGACTTCCATCACTTTTATATAACATTTTTGCCCATTACCTCTTGCTATGGCTATAATATCTTAAGTGATTAATTTATGTAAAAAATTCATAGTAGAAAGTCTCTGGGAGCTGTGTAAACTAGTGATAGTAACCTTGTATACTGATGAATAAGGAATTGCCTTTTCATTTCAGCACTTATTCCGGGAACCTGAACGCCGTCCTCCAGCTCTTGTGTCAAATTTGTTCACAGGTCTTGTCCTTGTGCCCTTTCTCATGCTGTTTGTTTTGGTAAGTGTTTGAAACAAATGAATGTTACTCAAACCTTTCCACTCACTTTTAGAGTTCTGAAGGAACCCTAGTAACCAGATGTACGAGTATGTCTGTCTGTCTTTGGATTCAACTTCAAACAATATTGTAGATATTTGGCCAGTTTTTGTGAAACTGTATGAATATTATACTGCAGGATACATCTTCAGTGATATTGCTGTTGAATGGATGACCTCTTTAAGAACCTGAACTTTTGCTATAGTCACACCCCTCTAGATTAACACTATCTTAATATCTATTGGCTTTACCCATGCAAAACCAAAGGCCATAAATCCATGTCCGACTAAGGTGGGTGCTGATACAGTGTTATCTTTTGGATTGCTGGCAGTGTGATATCCCAAATGCCCCATGCCATTCATCGACTGGAACACGAGAGCTCTCACTGCTAGTCCCATCTGAGCCTTAGTTCCCCTCAGAACTGGCATTTTCTTGTGGTTACACATGTCTTCTTCTTGGTAGGCTGTCTACATCCATCAAGAGACTTCATTCGGTCTTAACATTATGTGCCCCTTATGAAAGCATCTGAGAGCTGGTGGCTGCTTTTTATCAGCAACAAGGCCTAAAACTGAGCCTTCCAGTGCCAGAGGAAGACTTTCTCTTGGATTGCTGACAGTCGGATTTCCGTAGCCACCCACTGTCATTCACTGACAGAAACAGTTGATCCTCCACCGCTATTCCCAGCTGGACCCATACCTTAGCTTCAGCCAAGATCTCAGTTTTTTAGAGAACTGGCCTACTTCACTAGCCTGTCCAGTTACCTTTTTTGATAGTCAAATTATTTCCCTCTATCAAATTATCTCTTACAGTCGTGCCCTCAATGGACCCTCACCATATCCCCTGATGTATCTGTTTATCCATGATCCAACACAGAAATCCTTTGAAGCAGTGAGAGAACTGCCCCCTGCCCAAAGCTTATGCAGTGGGGACCCTGCAGCCACCCTCTGTCTTTGCAGCAGTACCAGCTAGATCTGTGATCAAACACCATCCAGTGCTCCAGCTCCTGCCTCATCTTCTAGTGTGCATGGTTCTTCTTCTTGATTGTCAGACTGTTCACTCCAATTAGCCTTGTCACACTGACAGCATGGACCCTCCAAGCCACTCGTACTACATCCAGGGATAGCAGAGCCCTCACCATTGGTGTTAGCTGGAACCATAACCAATCCATACTGGCACCTCTGCTTCCTCCTCTAGGCTTTCCATTTACTCTTCCCGATAGTTGGGTTACCCCTTCTCCTCAGGAGATGTATTTCAGTGTTCCCTTCAATGGGCCTCTGAAAGATTTGGCCATTCCCATAGCAGCAGGAGACCTAGTAACAGGCATCTGGTGCAAGAGGAATATTTCCTCCCCCAGGATACTTATGATGGGAAAACTAGCCCACTTCTGTGATTTGTTGGCAGGGTCATCAGATCCTCCTCCACTGTTCTGGCTAGACCCACAATTGAGTTTCAGCCAAGCTTTAAGTTCCGTAAGAAGATTGTTCCTCTTCTTGGCCACTTCTTCAGCTAGTACTCCAATTTTACTTCTCAATTTTCATGTTTCTCACTTCCACCAAGAGAAAAGTCTCACCCGTAGTGGACATTTGTTAGAGCCCCTGGGAGATTTTGGCTGCTGCAGAGAAATCTGTCACCCCCCACAACTCCACCTTTGGGTGGAAGGTTAGCTTACAATGGTATATCACCTTGTATTGTAGGGGCACTCTTCACCACATTTTCCCTCAGTGTTTTCAAGGCTTCAGCACAGTAGTTCACATCCACCTTAGATACTATCACCTTATTCAGCCAAGCCAGCCTACTGCCCCTAAGGACTGCCACATTTTACTTTACTGATGTAACGGAAAAATATTACCCACCAAAAAGGAATAGGACTTGGGTTATTTGCAAATTATTATGGTTCATTTTCTAGTAGAGTAACATTTTTGTCTGATGTTATGATGTGGGAACATTGTACTCTTGATAATTAAATTTTTGGATTAGGCAAAGTTTGCTACCCTGACTCCATTATTGTTAGTAATTTCTTGTAAACTCTCATTCCCAATTGCTGGTTTGGATATATCTTCTCAGCCTGCTTTGGTATTGAAATTTTTGAACAAAATTTGCATATGGTGCTTATATCGAATACACATTCTACTTCCTCATAGAAGCTCTCCTTCATATCATCAGGTTTATCCTCTGTTCGGAAGTGAACACACAACTTCCTGTCACTAACAAACTATACCATCTTAACCGCTGATATGATTCTCTTATGTACAGCTAATCCTGTCCCTAATTCACATTTCTCATTCCCATTTCCATAGAAAAATGTGTAATGGTCTGCTGGTTAACTGTCACACCGTCCCATCTGACCTCCTGTACGCCCATAAAGCTAACTTATACTTTGCTATTTATTATGCAACTGTTGTCCAAAATGTTTGGATCTTAATTTCTGCATCATTATGGTGCAGTCCTAAGGCATACAGACGGGTTTTTTTTTCCATTTATTTGTACTATTGTAAAGAGAAAATGAGAATAATACTTTTGATTTCAGTGGGCCAAACTGGGAGTTAACATATCCAATTTTCCGCTTTCTCTCAGTGCTCTAGGCTTTCATCTGGGACTTGGAGGTAAGAGAAATTGTTTACAATTTATGTATAAACTGTTGGCAAATTGGGTTGATAATGTTGGAGAAAACCTTGCTAAATGGTTACAAAGTCATGCTTCCAGGACATGACCAATGCAGATATTATCAGTGGACACAGAACAGAGATGAAGAAAGGAGTAGGGAGGCCAAGAGGAGGAGAAAGAAACAATAATCATTTAGTTGTGACACTCTAGTGTGTTGGTACTACTAAGCTGGGTTGTATGGGTCAGTGGATGATTGAAAATATGGACGAACATTGCCTCCTTGTGAGAATAAAAGACAATTATATGAATCTATTATGTAAAAATGTTTAAGTAATTTGCAGTATGCTGTAAGAATATGAAAGAAAATATTCTGGATTATCCATGGTTTTCATTTATTTGTGCATCTTATATCCTTCATTACTCTGTATAATTGACAGTTGACTGTAGCAGTTTTCCACTGCTCTTACATAGCGATTACTTGTATGTGCTCTGCACTACTGTTCCACAGGAAGTTCCAAAAGGCTGTATAACTTTCTGTGCTAGTGGATATCAATATGAATGCAAAACTACACAGAATTTTTGTGTTGAAATGAAAAATCTGAAAGGTGATTCTAACATTCAGGAAGTGCAGGCTGAGTTCTGGTTAAAGGGTATGGAAAGAAAGAATTTCAGTGCTTTCAGGATGTGAATTATTTTTAATTAACAAAAACAGTGGGAGCATCAGATGAACGTTTATGTTTATATTATATGGTGTCAAGTTTTCCATGTTCTATATTAGAATATATTCTTCCTCTTTTGACTGGTACAAGATTTTTTTCAGTAACAGTTTTAGACTTTGTATCTATAATGGTATGGTGATTATTTAACAAAATACAATAAATTACTTCTAGAACATTGATATTTTTGTAACAATAAATTGTATCTATAATAAATTAACATCAAGGCCAATGAGGTTTTCAGAGTAGCAAAGTTATATTGAAATATTTTTCCTATATGTAATAAGGTTTGACTTTGAGTTCTCAGTTCAGTGTAGAGTATACTGAAAACGTTTTCTTTTGCAGGTATCTTTCTCCTCTTTGGAGTATTCTGGCTACAGTTGAACATGTTCCAGACAATCAAGTACTTATTAGGAATTGGAGTTGTAACCTTTCTTTGTGGCAACAAACTTCTTGCAAAGATTGCCAGTGATCGCAAGCAAAACTAGTCATTTGTTTCATGATTTAATTTGGTGTGAAGGTGAGGCACTTAAAAAAGAATTATGGTATGTGAAAGTTGGCAGCATTGGTTCGTTTGCATCAGTAAAGAGCTTCCTCGAGTTCATTTATGAGTTTAAGATATAATAAATTTGTGAAGGTAATCCTAACATCAAAGTGCACTCGTCAGAAAGCAATCACATGTAAAACATTTTGAATTGTTGATCATCCAATTTGTGATGGCATTCTGCTTTGTAAGTAAAAGATTGGGGATAACTGTGTATGCCATGAAATGGAATGTGTTGCTTTGTGCTGAAGATAAACAATAAAAGAATACATAGATTTGGCATTAAAATCAATACTGCATACCCAACATACAGGTATATTCTATTTTGTATTACTTAATGCAGTTACCACAAGTGACTGAAGAAATGTTATGTACCCAAGAAGTGGACAGCAGTTGCAGTGACAGTTTTATAACATTTTTGCAGCAGGACTGGTTTCTGCTTCTTCTGTTACACCAGCCTGCAGGAGTAAAGAACACTGATGACTGCTGAAAGCAGACATGTTGGGCATTGTGATATGTAATAAATCATGTTAGTGAGTTTAATAGTATAATGAGGAGCTTCATAAATTGTACTCTTTTCCAAGTGTAATTGAAATGCTCAAATCAAGGAGGATGAGGTGGGCAGGGCATGTAGCACGAATGTGGGAGAAGAGGAATGCATATAGGATATTGGTGGGAAAGCCAGAAGGAAAGAGATGACTGGGAAGACCAAGGCATAGGTGGGTGGACAATATTAAAATTGATCTTAGAGAGATAGGATGGGATGGTATGGATTGGATTGATCTGGCTCAGGATAGGGACCAGTGGAGGGCTCTTGTGAACATGGTAATGAACCTTCAGGTTCTATAAAATGCTGGGAAATTCATGAGTAGCTGCACAGTTGGCAGCTTCTCAAGAAGGGCCATGAGTGAGTGAGTGAGTGAGTGAGTGAAGTTGAATGGTAAAAGGTAAAGCTATCCCTGTACCAGACTGTGAATGACCACAGGGTTGTGAGACGTTGAGGGTCCCACATTATCTAGACAATTGGCTCACAGATGGCGGCAAGGTTGTCAGCCTTATGCGCCGGCCGCGCTTTACCTCCCATGAAGGTTCCTGGTTCTCATTTCTGTTAGAGGCTGAGTGAACCCCAGGGCCATAGTGCAGCTAGAAGGATTAGGTGAATTGAAAAAATCCATCTCATCAGGACTTGAACCCATGACCTTCCTGCTTATAGTATAGTGCCAGTAAGTTGAATGGAAGGAAGGAAAAGAAAATTATTAAAAAATACTAATGTTCCTTCACCTCTGTGAGCATGCTGACACATGAAACAGTTTTGTTTATGTATGGGAGAGTGTATCACGTGTTCTCTCCCTCTCAGGTAGGCATGTGGAGGAATTATATTTTCAGTTTGGGACAGGATTGAGAGGAGAACTTAGAAGATGTTCGAGAATTGAGACAAGAATAAGAATTTTCTTTAGTAGATCAATTTTTTCACTGTAATAATTTGCAATACTAGCAACGTTTTCACAATGCACTGAAGTGTAATGTACCCTAATGGAAAATGATTCTGAATGTGAGACAGTATCACGCTAAGCAGTGTGTCTGCACAGAGAAAATAATTTTATGAGTTAATTTCATAGTCCTACCTCATGTGAAAGAAAATGAATATTAGGAAACAACTTATGGATGAGATTTATTGAATTGGTTACCTTCTCAATCTCATTATCCTTTATTAATATTCACCAGTCTCATTCTGTTCACTATTTCTTTCATATGCCTCAGCTTAAGCATCTTCACAATTCCCACCTTCTTCCTTATCCTCCCTTCCATCCATTTCATCCCCTAAAGAGCGCTTCTTATGCCCTTTGACTGTCACTCCTGGAAAGATCTGTTGTTGTGGTCTTGGTCCAATGGCTCAGCAGTTCTACACTAGTCTTCTAGGTTGCCCCAATGGTACCTTAACATGGCCTTCCAAGAGCTGTTTAGAATGCGATAGTTTTAATAAATTATTAAAAAGCCCATTTGCTAGGTCGTGTCATCGTGAGGTCATCCTTCTTGGTATGGCCACAAAGTCAGCACTTGCTGGATGAAATATGAATCAGACATTCAGTGCTATCTTACCTTTAAATGCATTTGGCACATGCTTTCTTTGTTTTACAAACTGTACTCTTGGTCTCCTGTTCCAGACAGTTTGTTTAGTTTTCTATCCCCTAGTTTGACACCTGATAGTCCCATAGACGAATTCCCCTTAGACACAGTTTTTTGATTCAGTATAATATACAGTGGTGGTTACATGCTGTGTACCAACTGCCATTACATTCATTAGCATTTTTCATTACCTGATGATTTTATGACAGACTCTGCACCCACATCATAGATGTTGTAATTGGGAGGCATATTAAAATACACTGGCATTTTGTTGTTATTGCCAAGTGAAGCTCTTTGCTCTAAAGAAAACCTATTCCTGTACATCCCATCGTGTCCTGAACGTAAGTTTCTGTAAAAATATGCCAAGAGCCTAAGATAATCAAAAACCTACAGTGTGCGCACACGTGCATACTTAGAAGAAGGAATAATAAGACTATGAAATTAATGTTCAAAGCAGTATGGAGAAATCAGTTTTCTTGTTTGAATTTTAGAAATTCAAGACTCACACTTGCCTACTCTCAAACACTACTAGACGTTTTAAGGTGATACAAAATCTGGCATCTATAATGTGTGTTATGTTCATTTAAGAGTGAGCAGTAGCCAGTACTGCAGTCATGTTGAGAATCAGACGTGTATTTGTACTATTTTAATATGATTTAGAAGCTTTTCAAAAGTGTGAAAAATATTTGTAATTGTAGAAAGGTTTGATTTACATTTCCTCTACTGAGCTGAAAGGACAGCTGTAGATCAAACTGTTACAACAGATATCTGAGAAAATCTATGTTCTCACACCTGAAATAGCCATACCAGTGCATTTCTTCTTGAAGTACACAGCAGTATGTTGTGCTGACCCTTATTTTCTATAAAACAAAAACTTGAAAAGGAAAAGCCATTACTACTGATAGTTAATAATTTCAGTTTTTTAAGGATTAACTTTTATTTTAACATGTTTTCTTTAATTTTGGGCACATCGCATGATTGTTACAATCTACTGCTAGTTGCCTTGTCCCAGAAGGTCTTCAGTACTGGAACCTGAGTGTTACATAATGGGCATGTTGACTGAAATTTTTATTTGTAATGAGATGCGCTCATTAGTATTCTGTAGTTAAAGTGTTACACAAATATCAGCTCTTTAGTTTAGTTTAGTTTAGTTTAACGAAGATTACCGGAATGTGTTAAAATGTTGATTTGCTGTACCTTTTTCAGCCTTCCCTAAAGCTACATGCCATCCAAGATTTAGCAGACTGTAAAAATTGCTCAGTCCTTGCAAGAAGGCCCATGAAAAGAAGGATAAAGCATAGTAAAATAAATATGTTCCATGGCTAGTGCCATCTTATAATAAAGCTATGAATTAATCACACAGTATGTAACCAGCATTAAGGAACATCTTTATCAGACCTCTGTGTTTGGGATCATGTTCTGTAGGAAGACCTTTCACTGCCTTTCAGAAGTTATTCTTGGAATGCAGTTTCTGTGCATGGTTACTGGCTTTTTGTGTATGTGAAACAAGTTATTGTTAAAGTTTATTCTACAAGAAAATTGAATATTTGTGGGTTCATGTATCTATTTATCATTTTGTGGTCAGTTTTTTTTGGATTTTTGACTCTTCACTACCATTACAGCTAACCTGCTTATACGTAATTCCGCCAATCACAGTTGCCATGCAGTCAAAGTCCTGAATCATCTTCACCAGCTCAAACACTGGCATTATGGGTTTGAATCTCACTTGAGGCATGGATGTCTATGTGCACATATTCTGTGTTTGTGCTGTTCAGTGTACAGGCAGAGGCCTTGCAATGACCTGATGACCCACCCAGTCAGTCCTACCAACTGTGTATAGGATTAAGATGTGTGGGATGATAAATCTTGACAAGTTTTAATATATAAATTTTATTATGGTACATGACGAGTATACATTTTAAATCATTTACAAATGACACATGATGGCGAGCAGTGCAATAGTTTAACCTAAATAACACACCTGAGGATGGCACAGTGATGCCGAAACATGTGGTGAAGTGAGAAGTGAGATTGTGTGCACTAGAGGACGTTCAGTACATTCACGACATGGACGTGAATCGGTGCAACAGGACGCTAAAATACAACAGGATTAAGAAACTGAAAAGCAGCCAAGGCCCAACAAAGGGCTGTAGAGCTGTAGATAGATAGCTCATAATTCTGAAGTATCAGAACTTTTGTAATGTTTTGACTGGTATCTTTTAAGACATGTACTTGCTTTTAGATGAGGAAATGTAACACACTACATAGGCCACGCCATAGCCCAAGCGGTTAGTCGCTGGCTTCCCACCATGGCAGCCCAGGGTCTGGTCAAGTGGGATTTTTGGTGGACAAAGTGGCACTGGAGCTGATTTTCTCCGAGTACTTCGGTTTCCCCTGCCAATCTTCATTACACCAAATTCTACATCATCATACTCACCCAGGACAGGCTACAATATGCCAATCAGTGGCCACCGTGCCGAGTGGACCCAGTTAGACTCCACCCCCCATTGAGTGCAAAAAACACTACATAACCCATATATATATATATATTTAAGACCCAAATCACCAACCTGTAATTTGTACAGTTTAAAATTGTAATTTTCAGAATCTCAGGCTTGCGATTAAAACAGTGCAGCATTTCAGACACTAAAGATGGTGTTCTAAGTCTCAAGTTCTTCAGAGATGGCTGGAGACTTTCATACCCTCTGATAATAATGCAAGAGCAATAAGAAATTTGTTAGTACTTATCCTTTGGATTTTTGAAAAATGAAAATTGAAAATGTAAGGAAACATATCAGATATTAATATGAAGAATTAAAATTGTTTATAAAAATATTCTTTTATCCCGAATACAGAGGTGGTCCATCAGTTGGCAAATGTTCTGGCGGTGGCCTCTTCTAAAAAATTTTAGCAGCACCTGTGTGAAAATACTGTATACTAAGCAACAGGTGTTTGATTCCTAATTGTTGTTGTTTCTTAGAATTTGCAGACTCTTGAGCAACTGGATTAATATGAAGAATTAACCTTTTAGTTGTTTCTGAAGAGTTATCCCTGTGTCTATCTTCATATGGTCTGGATGAGATATATTGTCATGGTATGAGTAAATGTGCTTCTATAGGATTTCTGTTTAACTGTTAGGTTAAATGTT